TAACAGTGCCCTCCGTCCCGTTACTTTCTTTATAACACAGGCAAATATCGGAGATTCAATTTTATTAAAGAAGATATAAAGTATTGGATAAAAGCTCTCGATATGCATAAGCCAAAATTGATCTAATCTTTGACATTTTCTTTCATTTCAGGACACTATCAGCAAGTCGAGTGACACATCTGGCGAGTTAGTGCGTGGTGTGGTTCAGGATTCAACCGCTTTTGATAAACCCAAAAGTGGCTCACGACTCTCGGAGCGCGCCAAAAAGAAGTCTTGGTACAACGTACTCTATCCGAATTACAAATCGCGTGCGGAAGATTTCAAAAAGTTATTCAAGGAAGTTCCAAGCGACGAACGGCTTATTGTTGGTAAGCATAATATAGCACTTTTCACCGATCGGGCAATCAGGCTATAAGTTCTTGGAATTTTTTCACATTCTAGATTATTCGTGTGCTCTGCAGCGTGATATACTCGTTCAGGGACGATTGTATGTCTCACAGAATTATGTTTGTTTTCATGCTAATATCTTTCGTTGGGAAACATATTTAACTATCCGCTGGAAGGATGTCACCTCAATAACAAAAGAGAAAACCGCACTTGTCATACCCAATGCCATTTCCATATGTACTGCTAAGGAGAAATACTTCTTTGCAACATTCACAACAAGGGACAAAGCGTTTTTGATGCTCTTTCGAGTATGGCAAAATACTTTGATGAACAAGCCGATGCCCCCACAGGAAATATGGCAATGGGTGCATAATTGCTATGGTGATGAACTCGGTTTAACCACAGACGATGAAGATTACATTGATCCAACTAGTTTGCCAGTAGAAAGTGAAGGTGATATTGATTTTGCATCAGCACTAGAAGACACAAATTCGATTGTTAGCAGCAACTACAGCACAGCTAACTCAGTTACACAAATTGCCAGCAATAGCGGTGGCAATAGCTCCAGCACAAGCAGCGCTGGCGGTTGTAAGCCCAGAACGAAATCATCATATTTCTTCAGTTCGAATAAATCGGTTGTGAACTCTTCGACGACCACGTCGACAAGCGGTTCTGATAATAAAACAAGTGATAATAACGGTGAGCGTGATTCAAAGAACACAATGAATGCAAAGGAATTGACACTGACCTCAGTGAAGCTGGAAGAAGAGACAGGCAAGAGCAAAATCGCGAACAGTTCTGCCAATGATAGTGGCAGTGGTGGGGGTGGGGTTAGTGCTTCCAGTAGAGAAACTAAAAGTTCCACACTTAAGGCAGTCACACACGAGGCAAAGCGAAAAGTGAACAAAAGCACACGAGAATGTGATGAGGCAGCAAGCAATAATCAAACAAATCTGCCAACAGATGCCTCGTGTTCTAGTGACTCTGAGTATAACAAAGCACCGTAAGTTTGACAACTTTGATGTCGTGAATTCAAAATGGTACTAAGCATAAATGTTTCTTGTTACAGATTTGTTGCTACTGCTGAGTGCACATCAGCACATGAAGGCCGTCAATTAGTACACACAATACTTCCCATTAATGTAGATACGCTGTTCAACATGCTTTTCTCCAAGTCTAAATTCGTGGCAGATTTCCACGCTATGCGTAAAACTGAAAATATGTCTTTCGGCGAGTGGGTAACCACCGATGAGGGCAAGAAGACACGCACCTTAGGCTTGACTGTGCAACTATTAGCTTCCGTAGGTCCAAAAGTATCAAAGGTAAAGAAAAAATAGAATTCGTGGCAGAGTAGAGAAGCGTTTGAGCTACACTTATCAATTCAACTACTCTTTCGCGGTTTGTTTAATTTTAAATATATTTCCCCGTTTGCAGGTGACTGAGACTCAAGAAATGCGTGAATGTAGCAAACCAGGCGAACTGTATTCCATAGATGTAAATAGTGTTAATGCTGGCATTCCATATGCTGATAGCTTTAGTGTATTAATTCATTACTGCTTAGTAAGGTAAGTGCGTGTGCCTTTTTTAAGAGATTTCTACAATACAAAAATTATCGTACTTCTACAGAACCGTTGATGACCACACAATGCTGTCTGTGCACGCTCAAATTAAATACAAGAAATCTATTTGGGGTGTCGTGAAAGGCTTCATAGAGAAGAATACATGGGCTGGCATGGAAGAATACTTCGGCGCAATGCTCCAAGCTTTGCAAAATGAAACTTGCATTCCACCCTCCAAGGCAAAAGGACGTCGTCCACGTCGCGGTAAGCACAACAAACTAATCAACACGAATACTACTGTCACTCTCCACAACAAAAATGATCAATGTTCGTATAATCCAACTACGGTTTCTACTTTTGATACCACAACTTTTTTTGTCACTGCCATTGCCAATACCACTGCCAATGCTACTACTTCTAACGCTTCCACTCCAACTGCAAATCTCACGTGCAACACAAAGTTCTCCTCTAGCACTGCTAACACCACCATCACTAACAATTACTAACAATTGTAATCGACAATGTGACAATACTCATCATCACCGCCACTTCCATTTTACTAATTGTGTTGAAAGTGTTGGTATTGATCATCAACACCTGCAGCACTCCGATAATCACCTTAAGAGTAATAATCTACACCTGCACGCCTGTCAGCATCATCAAGAACCTTGCTTTGATAATCATATAGGCAAGCTTAAAAAGCACCAGCAGCAACATAGCCCACTTCATAACATTATAGAAGTATATGAGGAATTTGTCGTGCAATCGAATAGCAAGGAAGGTATAATGAAGTGCGCCTAGTAGACTATCACTATTACATGAACCCGTTCCGTTGCATGTTGACTAGTTTTTATAACCATTATTCCTCCCGGTATCCTCTTAACACATGCTCTAATTCGGTTAACCATACACATTTTTCTGTTTAGTCTTATACTTGTGGCGACTGTATTTAGCATTTAGATGTTGTTAGTCATAATGTTAAAAAGCATTTTATCATCCGGCACATACTTCATTTGCAAAATTTGTCCTCTTCGAGCATCTAGCAAGTACACTTAATACGATATGATGTTATACCATGGTATACTATGGTGTATTCTATCATTCTTGATGCTGTACGACTCAATGTCTCACATACACATACTTCTGAATGTATTCATACTCAATCAAAAATCGTCAGATATCGCCCATCGTATGCTTGCATGTTTATTTGTTTATTATCTTCTATCCAAGGCATATTTAATAAGGTAGAAGTTACAACTAGCTCGAACTCTCTTGTAGCAAGTTATAATGTCAAAAAACTGTAAACAAACAAATTAACCTTTTGAGGTGCGAGTGATATGTTTGCTACAAACTAGCATCAATTGAAACGCATCAGCATAAATACATACATATGTATGCACGTATACTAATTTTAAGAATTCCTTCAATATTACCTTCAAAGAATTTTAATTGCATTTGCATCTTATATGCACATAAATATGTATACATATAGACAGAAACGAATACCTCATATAGGAAAACGCGTGAATAAAATGAAAGAAATGTTTTATGGATCTGTTTTAAACATTTTTTTTATTCGCCCAATGTTTTTGCGGGTTTAGTTTCTTATTTAAATATTTAATTCTAAAAAACATCCGGCACTTATAAAAAAATTATTTAATGTTTTCTTCTAAATTTATATGAAGACTTAACTCTAACAATTTGTTGATAGT